AATTTTCGAGAAAAAGGATATTCCGGATTTTCAACAACGAAATTTCAAAATTTCAGAAGGAAAACGAAAATGGAAATTTCAGATGTTGCGCTATTACAATTTTTGACAACAGAAATAACGAGAAAACAGAATCCAAGGAAAGAAAACAAAATTTTGATTTTCGGTAGTAAGGTCAAAATCGTGATTTTGGGGTCTAACTAATGTGCTCTAATCAATCAATAAAGACTAATCAGCTATTTAGTCCCCGCACACGTGTCAGATCAGGTTGTCCTGATTCACGTGTGGTGCACCGATACCAACTGTTACATGCCCAGTTGGGCGATGTACATAGAAACCGAGGATCCGCAATGTGATGAAAAGGACTGAATGGACAATGCAGTGCAAGTAGAATCTCAACAAGCAATGTGCATTCCCATACATACAAAAGGGTGCTGAATAGCGCAGTGGAAGATTTAGATACAAGTCCTGACCTGAACGGGACTGACCTCATTCACGTAGTGCAAGATAGCGAAGCAGAAAGCTATAATGCTAATGACTAGCCCAATCAATGCTTGAATGCAGACCAAACATATATCGTATCCATCACAAGGTGTGAAGGAGCCTGGCGCTGAACACAGGAAGGAAGCGCCAGGTCCAGACATACACAGACGAAGAGGAGGGGATCAGACGAAAGGAGGGAGAGAGATGGGAATGTCGTCAACACCAAGTCTTTGTCACGAGTCCCAAATAATCCCTCGTTGCCATGTCTGAAGTCCAAAAGTCGAGTCTGGATCCAATGTCACCAAGCTCTTTCTCTCTTCTCTCGTAGTCCGCAGGGTGAGAGGGAGATGGTGGACTGAGAAGAGGAAGAAGAAGAACTCTCTCTCTGAGTTACGAGCCAGATACTAACCTGTGATGTTGGCGCTGTGCTGCAGGTACCTCGAAGACGAAGCTGGAGCAACGGCGCTGCAGGTAGGTACCCAAGGCCTCCGCCCAATCTCTCTCTCTCTAGTGCTATCCTAGCTATGGCGCCCAGCGCTGGAGACTACAGCTACCTACTGCGCCCAGCGCTGAAGATTAAAGGCTAACGCTACTACTACTCCCTGCAGCGCTCCCTCCAGAGTGCTGCGGCCGAATCCTGAAGACTACGGCCTCCTGCCTACCCGTGAAGTGCATGGGAAGTCCCTATGTACTACCTCGGCCTGCCTCCTGACTGCCTGCAGGGCGAGCCAGGCCGAGGAGGCTGCTCTTGCCAATGCCGAAGTGTGCCAGGGGCTGGCTGCAGCAGCTGGTGAGGCTGGCGTGGGGAACAGGCTAAGAATAGCCTGTTCTCAAAACCCTGGTTCGGTGCCTGAGTTTCAGGGCCGGTCGTTCTGATGAACGACCAAAAATGGCCCTTCGTTTCAGGCTAAAAAGGCTGTTGCCATTTTTAGTCTGAAACGACACCGGGACTGTAGGCCCCTGTTTTCAGGCTTTCGGGCTGAACAGTCACGGGACCTGTAGGCCCTGGTTTTCAGGCTTTAAGCCTGAATTTCAGGCTTTCAGCCTGAGGGACGCAGGGCCTGGAAAATGGCCCTCGTGTGCAGGCGCAGCATGTAACACTCTCTCTCTCTCTCTCTCTCTCT